GAACCGTGGGAGATAAAATGTTCCGAACCCCTCTGACTCCCTAAAAGGGATAGGTATATAAATCTCACGGTAATTATAGACTCACCAACTAAATGTTTTGTTCAGTTGCTTTCGTGTCTTAATGGCAATTACTTCTCTTTGCCACCCTCACATCGTACAAAATTTTAATCTGGTATCTATGATGAGTTTATTCATTTCGTTTCATTGACTTTCATTGACGACGTTGACATGAAATGGACTCATAAGGAAAAGGTACTTTCATGCAACATACCTACATTACCAATCTCTCAACAGAATTCCTTTGAAATCTCTGTCTTATTATTACATTCTTTATCATAACTATATAAATGAGGAATTGGACGACAGCTCATTTGCACTGAGCTAATAAATCCAAATGAGACCAACATCGTTCTACAATGAGTTTTCAATCTACCCAATATTTCAGATTAAGTGGATTTATTCCATCAATGATACCGTGACTCAGCCATAACTTAAACTTCTCAGCCACATAAACAATCGAGGTTGCATATATGAATAAAAGAAAGAAGAGGCTTCTCTCGTGCACATAACATCAGCATAGATGAACTTTTAGCGTAAAAAGAGAAAAGTGTCAACAAAACAATCCCTTTCATGCTGACTTCCTATTTCAATCCTAATAAGAATCAAACGTAAGCCGCGTAAATTGGTAAGAAATAGAAACACCCTAAGATAGACAAGATCTTGCTCTAGACAACCGCATTTGCTCTCGGTAGACCTTTCACAAATCTTGTGTTTTGAGAGCTTTTGACCATAATTGAAAGTTTGGTAACACAAATTTCTTTTCAACGTAAGATTTTGGCAAAAGATCCCAATTTGCTGAGAATTAGAGTAAAGTGATTATTGTTATTAAATTTAGTTTTACACCAATTTTAGGTTTTTGCCTTATTATCTCTAAAACTCTGACAGATAAAAATAACTGTTAACATTAATAATGACCAGCAAAGAAAGATCTCCAGATAACTGATATTACTGAAACTGGAATTTTTGCTCTTTATTGATGACGTTTATGAAATTTCATTTTTCATATATTTTATTAAATTGATAAACATGGCAAAGTGTGATCAATTCAGTGGAATTAAATATTGTGATGGGTGCTAAGTCGAGACCCATTTCAGTTAAGGAGGGATTAGGACTTAAGAAGATTTTAGATCCCAATTTAATATTCTTATACGTGTCTACAAATAAAACAAATCTATTTTATTTTTTGAAATCTACCCGTGATAATATAAACGTCACAAAAAATACGTTCCTTTTTGTGACATTGATCCATTCATGTGACGCGCAGTTTATATTTCGTTTGTGGTGTCCTGGTGTGCTGTCGTAAATTCATGGGAGGTGTCCGTTGTTATTTTGCGGTTTACAGGTTGTAATATACTATTATATTATTCATTTATGTATTTATATGTGTTGAGTGTTCTTGCGTTTGTTTGTACTGTATTCCTGTCACGTAGTGTTGTCAGCGGTATTTTTAACATTGCCATATAAGCGGGAGGTTTGGCTAGCCATAAAACCAGGTTCAATCCACCATTTTTCTTAAAATGTCCTGTACCAAGTCAGGAATATGGCAGTTGTTATCAAGTAGTCTGTTTCTATGTATGTTGGCGTTTGTTTTTGTTGCAGTTCAGTGTTTCTGTTGTTCCGTTGTTTTCCTCTTATAGTTGATGTGTTTCCCTCGGTTTTAGTTTGTAACCCAGACTTGTTTTCTCTTAATCGATTTATGACTTTTGAAAAGCGGTATACTACTGTTGCCTTTATTTAGAAATATTTTGATTGTGTTTTTTTTTTTTAAAAGTGATCTTGGTACTGAAAAATGAATCGCCTTGATTTCAATGTAATGCACATGAAAAACGGTATCTTTGTTAAAAAAAATAGTTTGTTTCTGGAAGAAAACATTGTGATAAAGATTAAAAGTTATGCCAAACTGACAAATGAGTGATTCAGTCTCATTGGATCGGTTGTTTTCTTCTTATGGTAATTAGTAAAGCTTTATCTATGCTAAAAGATAGAAGTGTTGGTTGAATTTATCTATAAATTATCTAAGCAGTTTCAAAAAATTTCTAAATAATTGCAAATCATAAAAAAAAAAATTACTGCAGAAAGAAATATCAACTATTTTCCAGATTTAAATTTTCTAGATAACTAAACAGAGAGATGCTGTTTCATCTTCCAAATTTGGTATATTTTCAGAAAGAACTGAAAAGAAAAGCAAAACAGTATACAGAGGAACTGACAAAAATGTTTAGCATCCATAAACATAACAAACACATTGTTTGTGGCAGAGTATTTTTTATAAATGCTACCAATCCAAAAGATCTTGAAATCAAAAATCTTACAGCTGATTTGGTTGAAATTGCATTTCAACAGCCAACATGGGGTGAAAGGAAGCCAATAGCTTGGGTTCCGTTAGAATTGGTAATTTCCGAAATGAAATCGCGCGATGTCAAACTGATAACCAAAGCGGAAATGAAATTTCTTAACGAATCACACAATAGCAATAGCATATGAAATGACTGATCTAGCTGTCCCGTCTGCCTTATCGTTCAAGTTAATTGCCACAGCTTTGGTGGTGTGGCCACTGAAAGAAGAAAACGGTCGGCCGTGTCTATATTATCAGTCAGCTTTGTTGAATGTTGATGAACGCAATGAACTTCGTATAATGATTGAAGGACAGCATGTCATGGTGTACCTCACAAATGCAGAATCAATACATTTGATATCACCAGATGTGGCGGCAAGTATTCAAGAATGTCTTACATTAGCCTTGACCAACATTCTCAAGTTTTACCTTCAGAGTTTTGGAAAGTTTTCAGTCGACCTGGATGTTTCTCGCTTTTTCAACATTAAAGTTGGATTGATTTGTCACAGAGAGGTTTGCCTAGTACCGTTGTCGGATGTTAAACTACAGAAAGAATGGACATGCAAGCACGAAGTAAAGCATCAAACGAAATATCCAATGTACTGGATATTTGACAAGGTAAATTGTTTAATTGAATTCTCACTCAATTTTTTCATAGGCAACCACCTGTTTTAACAAATGTTTAATTATTTCCGAAAATTGTTTGATAAAAAAATAAGCGTTTCATTAACAATCTATTCAATCAATAGTCTAAAAATCGTTTTGCAAATTTAATTCTTCCGTCGGCCAAAACAAGTTTAATAAGAAATAGTTATTCTCGTAAAATTTAGTTCGAAGCGTCAATATGTCACGTTTTGATTTGTTTTTTTTTGTCTCTACCAGTAACAGTCGTGTCTATGATTTTTGCTGGAAAACCCGTTTTCATTTTAAACTTTCACATTCGATCAAGTTTTATTGGTAGACAAATACATTTACCAATCCACTGTTGCATTGTGCTTTATCAACGTACATGACGCTATGTACAACTCATTTTGACAAGAGTAAAGCAGAGGGTGATACTAATTGAGCAGGAACTGTCCTTCCGAAGCATCTGAGTTCACCCTGGTATTTTTTGCCGAGCTCGTTGCTTAGTCTTTAGTTTGACTGTTGTTTTTCTTTTTGTCGTTTCTTTTTATGTTTCTTTCTGACTATGGTATTTCTGTTTTTCTTCGATCTATTGTTTGTGTTGCCCCCTTGATATATGTTCCCTCTTTTTGTCTTATACCGTTTGTTTGACAGTCAACCTTGATGTGATCTTAATCTTCAATCGTCAAAATAGTGGAGTATAATTTTGTATTATTAGATAGATATAGTAAACATAATGTAAGAATATCTAATTTGTTTTTAATTTCAGACAAATGAACTTTGTCCTACCAGTTGTAAAGGTAAGATGTTTATGTGGCAGAAAAAAAGTTGTATGGCTTCTTTTTTCCATTCGTAAATGGCAATTCTTTGGTTTCATATCTTCTGTCCGTCGTCCGTCAATAAACTTTTACAAAATAGTTTCCTCTGAAACCCCAAGGCCAATTGAAACCAAAGTCAATCATCTTTGGTGTTGTTTAGTTTTCATATTTGTTCCCAGATAATCAGTTATTACTTAAATAAATCGTAGTTGTATATTCAGAGAATAGTCACAAAAGACAGAGAAAATGTGTCGTCAAGATAGAATTGCTCAGAATGTAGATATTTACCAATTGGCTATATACACAAAAATTATCAAACGACTCCTTTAGAGAGTTATTCTCCGTAAAGGCGTTAGTGTTGGTCAATTTAAATTTTTTTTGGCGTATTATCTTTAAAACTATCATAGATTTATATATATATTAAAAACAGCAGAAATATTCAGGAATACAAGAATTATTATGAGGACCCTCAGAACGATTAGCTTTGGCTAGTGAGGTTATGTAGACGAAACGCGCGTCTGGCGTATTAAATTATAATCCTGGTACCTTTGATAACTATTTACACCACTGGGTCGATGCCACTGCTGGTGGATGTTTCGTCCCCGAGGGTATCACCAGCCCAGTAGTCAGCACTTCGGTGTTGACATGAATATCAATTATATGGTAATTTTTATAAAGTTCCTGTTACAAAACTTTGAATTTTTCGAAAAACTAAGTATTTTCTTATCCCAGGAATAGATTACCTTAGCCGTATTTGGCACAACTTTTGGGAATTTTGGGTCCTCAATGCTCTTCAACTTTGTACTTGTTTGGCTTTATAACTATTTTGATCTGAGCGTCACTGATGAGTCTTATGTAGACGAAACGCGCGTCTGGCGTATTAAATTATAATCCTGGTACCTTTGATAGCTATTATCCTCTTTAAAAAGAAATATTTGTATTCATGTAATGCCAAAATGACTGAAAACATCAATGAAGTTTGAAGACCTTATTGTATTTATTGTTAATTTGTTCTCGTCCTGAACAGGCCACTGGACGACGCAAACAACAATCAATCAAACAGAACTTTTGTTTTCAAGTTCATCACTGATGTTCTATTGTCAAGATAAAGGGTAAAGAAACCTATTTGTTTCTGTATAGTTTCAGCTGTACTATATTTTTAGGATTTGAAAGTGATGCCCTTGATTTAACTCCAAATGATCAACATTTTGTTCGATTAGCGAAACAAATAGAGGTTAGCGTGTTTGACCAATTTCTGATTCATCTAGGACTGACTACTGCAGAATGGGAAGGAATTGTATATCAATATGACGGAAATGGGGAGGTCGGCAAGAAGCTAATGGCATTGTATGAGTGGAAAAAGAAGAGAGAGGCAAAGCTTCAGCCAGTTAAATTGAAGCTGGTCTCTAATGCTTTAATAGAAGTTGACAGGCAACATTATCTTTGCCAGGTTTGTGACATTTTCTAACTTATTGCTCAGGCAGGGTTATGCGCAAGAATGGCTGAAATCGACATCATAAGTCTCCGATACAATGTAATATTTACCGATTATGATCATTCCCCTATTGTAACATTTTGAGCGGATGTTGCACTCTCTCTCTCTCTCTCTCTCTGAGTTCATACGATTCCATCAGGTTTTCTTTCTCTTGGTTTTATGGATTTACGATATACACATAAGAAGATGCGACATGATAGCAAATGAGACGGCTATTTGCTAGAGACTAAATGACATAGATATAAGCAAATAGACTGCTTATATCTACGTTTTAGTTTAGAACATCGGTGAGGTAATGCTGCCATCAATTAATGTGCAGTCTGATTATGAATTATGTCTTTCAATACATTTTTTCTATCAAACGGCTAGACTTGGTAATCTTACATTTTGTCTAAGTACAGTTTGGTTAAATCTTTAAATTTGAACATATATCGTATACCAATGAGGATTTAATGCACAGTCTTGATAATCAAAAATCAATCACGAAGAAAATCAGTTGAAGATCAAATTTGTCATTTTTGTCAAGAGGATATTTATACAGTAACCTTAACATTTACAGAAGACTTCTGTGAAGTTATATGAAAACTGAAGATACCAAGAAGGGCCGTAATACTCGCAAGTCGATAAACAGATAAAATCATGACCAAAGGGGAACGGCAAAAAAGCAGAAATATAGGTCACAAAAACATCTGTTGACCTGTAGATGTCGTAAATCTCCTTGTTTTCATAAAGATTGACAAACGAATCAAAACCCTATCTTATTACCGACGGTGATAAATTAATAGCCGTCATAAAAATTTTGATAACGATAAAACTTGAATATGAGACTGCAATCATATTTAAATCGTTAACTTTACTTAAAATTTTCGAATATTTTTTTAAGAATAAACAACACAGCAATTTAAGCCTCTCTTACATCAAGAACGCAAATTTATTATTAGCTCTCTCACCCCCTCATTTGTAGTTGCATGAAATATACGATTTACGACCATAAGATAGTAACTTAACTCTTCAACTGTTTCGGTACTTATACATCCCTCGGATTTCAAATGTTTGGCTTTGAGCGTTCCTGATGAAAGTAAATCCAGAAAAGCGCTTCGGACGCATGAAATTATTAAACGTGTTGTTTTCAATTTTTTACTGAACAGCACACACAAGAGGCCTAAAAATAGGTTTCCTTTAGTATGCATGACGCATTCATACCCGGCATATTTCAGGCTTTTAATCACAGAAGTAAGCACAAATAATGACTGAAAATCTCTATATGAATCATACAAAAACAAGTTTAACAACAAAAGTCACAGTTATAGATTGTGAACAATCAAATGTCTTTTTTAAACACAGACAGACCGGAAAAATAGAAAACGAACTCATTTTCAATCATTATCATAATCCAACCGTATCTTGAAGATGATATGATATTTGAATAGATCATCAAATCATTTACAATTGTCATTCCAAGTTAGTATACGCAATGCAACGAAGTTTCGAAGCGTGTTATGTTTTATAACTGTTCATCCGACCGTTAGTCTGTGTGTAAGCTCGTCCGTCTTCACTTTGTTGTCATTATGTGTTGGGTAGGTGATCTTGCTAACAGAAGGTTCTTCCATATTATTGTTTTGTCTCGTTATTTCAAGATCCAAAGTAATCTACTTTATGAGTTTCCGTTTCATACATGGAATTATAACAAGTGCTAGAGCAGGTAATTGGTGTCGCTAATTTGTACATTTAACTTTCAGATTCTGAGAGAAAATACCTGCCTAATAGGTAAGTTTGTAGACCGGCTAGAATAACTTAATAGGAATTAGTAAAACTGTTAAATGTTTATATGGTTTATACAAAATTCAGTGAACGTTGAACGTCGCAGCGAAACAATGTAAATGATTGGAATTTGTATTCGATTTCATTCCTGTATCTTTTTACGGATCTGAAATTTCTTCAGTTTAATGAATATTATCGAAACTTCGTTTTCAGATTTCAATTCGGGGTTGGAACTATATGTCTATGTATTTCCCTTTTGTAATCCTTAATGAGGTTTAAATATTACAATTAAACTAGTGATACTAATAAAAAAAATCCATAATAATAATATGTGCAATTTTCCAAACTAAAATTCATCGAAGAAGTTATATTTAGGGTTCATAATGTTTCCTAAATCTCCGTATGCATTTTAAATAAAACTTTAACAAATCAAACCTGTCTTTAATCGAATACACATAGAATAATGGCATATGTGTTTTTGATACCGACTTTATCAGCAAGAATATCGAGCGAACCTCTCTTTTGTAAGTCGAGAAAAAAAAATAACAATTGATAGTTTTCAAAAAAACCGTATTCATGTCTAATATGGAATAACCATACATCGTCTTTGAAATAAAAAGTATTTTGTGAGGCTTCGAAACAGATTGAGCATTTAAATTTTAGTTCGTGCCGCGTACAACTAAATTTTATATCGGAAACAATGTATTGTTGTTCCCTTTTACTGCACCGCTCAAAATTAAATATTTTGGGTGAAAATGAAGCTGGTAATTAAAAATTCCATTAATCTATATTATGAAAAAGAGGTAGTGTTGGATATGAACAGAAACTAGACGTGCAATACGCTAACTACGAACCCATCATATGAATTGAAAGTTTGAAACGTGCAGACTGCGTTTCACTGTCCAAACATTAGTAGGATTTAACATCCACATTCCTCCATGACGTAGCTGTATATTTATACAACCCTGAAATTTAAAAGGATGCCCAATCGTTGTCGTCGCAGTCATTATATAAATAACACATAGGTGAGAGGCTGATTACAGCCGAAGATGCTTTACAATGTTTGTTTCTAGGGGTAACAATCGTCTCCTTTATCCTGTCAGCTATTTGTTGTTATTATTAAATATATCGGGAAAAATCCTATATGAACTTCAACGCGTTCATTCAATTAATCAAATATTGCAAAATAATGTGAACAGCATCTTTATTGAGCTATGTTATAAAAAGGCATACACTACTGTTGTATCGATGCTCTTAACAATTTCTTGTATTAGATTAATGTTTAAACATTATTGCAAGGCACTCGATACATTCTATATATTTCTTTAATTCATCTTAAATTGGCATTTCAGATATTGCAGACAGTCGCTTACAAGAGATTCCTGCTGATGAAGTTCTAAACAGACTGCCTAAACATATAGGAAACTGTGTCATACAGCTTGGTATTGAATTAGGACTCAGTTTCTATAGTATCGAGGAAACCATGCATAACCACTTCAAGGATATGTATAGTCAGTTATATGACATTTTGAAGAAATGGAAACAATCCAGCAGTATAAAACCAACCATATATAGATTGATGGTTGCCCTCCAGCGTACAGACTCTGGTGGACTTGCATTTTTAAGAGAAGAATATTTGCATCCTTAAACAAAGTCTTATTTCGTGAACCATAAAATCTATTAGTTAGAAAAATAAGTTGATAGTGTCAAATGATTATTTATAGATAGTTGTTTTCATTTAGAAACATACTTATTTTCTCTTTGCAAATCGACGGCAGAATTTCCAGGAAATCTCACCAGTTATGTATTGTATTTAAAATGTAGGATGCCAATTGATGCACACGACACTTATTTCCAAAATAATTTTTATCAGATACGCTCAAGACAAATCAGTTTGACAATAAAACATTGAAGTGCATAAAAAAAAACCATGCCGGCCTCTACAGATCAGCCAATTTCGTCTTATTGTCAGCGTGGAATAGATGTAACCTCAGTTTCAGAATTTACAAATATCATTTATACTATTTAAATATTGAAAATTGGCAACAGGGCGGATTGTTACCTCTTCGATTAACATTCGTGTAACAGCGCTCCAACTTAATGATAGTCGTGTGGGTATAATTTTCAGAAGTAACCGTCACCTCAACAGTTTGGAAAGCCAAATTCATAAAACATTCAAAACCATCAAAACTACGGGGCATATACATAACATTACAGCCAAAATGGCCAAAGTCATTTGCCCGAGAAAAACCATAACACTATAAGTTAACTCATCATAGATACCAGGATTAAAATTGTGTACGCCAGACGCGTGTTTTATCTTCAAAAGACTCATCAGTGACGCCCGAAGAAATAAAGTTAAAAAGGTCAAATTAAGTACGGTTGAAGAGCATTGAGGGCCAAAAATTCCGAAAGGTTTTGTCAAAGAAAGCTGAGGTAACCTATTCCTAGGGTAGAAAATCCCATCATAAAGCATCCTAGAAGTAATTGATCAGTGACAGGGAAATCTGCCTTTTTATATATCTGTTATATCTTATTTGCTACCTGCTTATTATCTACATGTTTTGCTATATGCTTGTGCTGTGAATTTTAATTGCTTTTTCTTCAATGATTTGTTTTAATCATATTTATGTGCTTTTATGACATTTAAAGGTGCCTTTGATCCAATTGCTGCTTTACTTGTTGGTTTATGTATTTATAATTACCTTTGCTTATTGGGATTTTTTTGGGTCAGTTTTTATGGACTTCCCCATTTTAAATTTACCTTGGAGTTCGGTATTTTTGTTAATAATTTTTTGTATATATGTTTGTAGTCTTAAATTCGGGAGTAACCAACTTTTGTTTAAATACGGGTTCGTGCTGTTTTTGCTTTAGTTTTCCATATTGTATTTGTCTTCCTTTTTAAATGTCTGCTTTGTTTCTACCGATGACAGTCTGGTCTATCCTTTGTCCTGAAAATGGTGTTTTCATTTCCCCCGACTCCCCCCCTCCCCACCCTTACCCCTACCCCGGTCGGGGTTCGTGTTCGCAATCTTGTTTTCTGTGCGGTATCATGTTGACTTTTTGTTTTTTCCTCTTTTTATAACTGCTATATCTTGTTTAAATATAGTCATTTATGTGTTCCTTGTACATATTTATTTGTTATTATTAGTATTTTCCTCTTCATCTTTTTATTTTATTATTTTACTATTATATTACTACTATTATTTTTATAATCATTATTATCATTATCATTACAATTCATTATTGTTGTTGTTGCTAACAAAACAAACGTCAGTCACGGTGCGTCGTCGTCCGTGTCACACTTTGTTAATCGAAATTTCCTAGAAAACAACTTGATAAAAAATAAGCTTGCACATATTCTCCTACAGGTGATGCAGTGTGCATTTGCTATATTGATTTTTATCTGAGTGAATTTAGGGGTTTCCTACACAGGCACTTGTTTCTGAAAAAAATACCTACATATTAAAGTATATAGGTTTTTTTCCATAGACAAGTGCCTGTGGTTTACTTTACAAAAACATTGACTTCTCCGTTTCTGCTTTGGTTTTGGAGACGGGAGGCGACACACGTCTTCCTCAGAAGACTCGTTTGTTATTATTATTATTATTTTGTGAAAGAGTATGCATCAAAATAATCTTATTTATTGTATGAACACATAATACATGTATAATTATATGACTCCTTTTGAAAAAAGAGAATATATGAATTGGAATAAATAACTTCGACTGTTCATTTGTTAGTTCGTCCGTTCTGTAAATTTTTCATTCATTTTAGAATATGATGCTGGTTGAATTTTGAGCTTATGACTATATCTAAACAAAACTTCCTTTCATATCATTATTATATTATGCCATTATTTTGTCAATTTGAATAGGTTCTGATTAAGAAGATAATAATAAAATTAGATAATGATACATGTGATAGTAGCAGCTATACTAATGTGTCAAAAATATAGTCAAATCCGAGAAAAGTATATTAAAACGTATTATTGGAGAATTCCATCTGCATACAAAGATCATACAAACTTATCGAATTGTTATCTGTAAGAAATGTTAAAGAATTAAATAACTTAGGTATATTTTTAAATCATCAGAAAAACTCAGAATTTAATTGCCTGTATTTAGTATATTTGTTCTCACATATTGTGTTTATAAAAAGTATGTAATTCTCCGCTCGTATTTCGTATTATATTTTATTTCGTGTACACCTTTAATTTATCAGTGGCGGATCTAGAGGGGGGGGGGGGGGGGGTTCCGGGGGTTGGAACCCCCCTTTTATTTAGACGATCAATGCATTTGAATGGGGACATATAGTTGGAACCCCCCCCCCCTTCATCCTGGGTTGGGAACCCCCCTTTTAAAAATGGCTGGATCCGCCCCTGTTTATATACTGTGTAACTCAATATTTTGTAAGAATTCTTGTTATAGGTGCATATAAAATTATTATCATTATATGTATGTATCCTATATAAGCTGTATTTGCTTTTGGAATAAAGTATATATTATAATAATGGTAATAAAAATAGTCAAATTATGTTATATTAAGGAACTGAAATTGAAATTGAATTTCCCTCAGTCAGCTGGTAAACTGAATATTTCTTGCATCCATTCTGTAGCTTCATTCTTCAAAATATTTTTCACTGATTCATGTAGTCTTCTTCAAAATATTTACTTAAATCAAACCATTTTCTGGAGGATCTATTGTATCTAACATTATTGTATCTAAAGAATTCACCAATTATTGTAATAAAATGAATAAACGAATACTCCACCAATTGTTGTGTCAAATGAATGAACCACTTTTTGTATCAAATGAATCCGAATTATTGTATCAAACGAATGAACCACCATTTATTGTAATATGAAGTTGGTTGATATTTGCGTAATGTAACATGGTCTGCTTACTGTTTTTTCCCTCAGACTCTCAACAGACGAACTACATCTGTGAGAGCTGGTTCTGATTTTTACATGTTCGGGGGAAACTAGCTGTGAACAATGCCTTTGATGATGTATGGCATTGCTGCCGATGTAAAGGCAGGCCGGGCGTTGTTGCCGATGTAGAGGCAGGCCGGGAACAACAACAGGAAAGAAAACCAAACTAGAACATCAAGAAACTCGCTAGAACATCAAGAAACTCGCTATTAATTTAATAAAGAAATAATTACAATATAATTTCAAAGTACAAAGTTTGAATGTCAAAATAAGTTGAAAACAATAATAAAATACTACAAACAATTCAATTAAATATCAAATAATAACAATATTAATTACTGTTAAATTCAACCTTTGAATTAAAATATTAGTTACTTAATATAAACTTTATCTATCTTTTTTTTTCCAAAATAAAATTAAAAGAAAAATAATTTAAAATCTAAATTGTTTCCAAAATCAAGAGACTCACCTAGAACATCAAGAAACTCGCTATTAATATTATAACGGCTTGATCAGTTTATATACTAATTTCTGAATATCCTAGTAACCCTTAACTGATTGCAACAAACAAAAGAATTTATGCTTTATGAGTTATAAATAAAGTTGCTGACGCAGGTTGACCGCTGTCTAACTTCTAAGACCTTATGTTAAACTCTGCCAGACATACAACTGGAGGTCAGTCTGGCATCAGCCGAAGTTTTATAGAACAAACAAGTTCAGTAGTTCATTAGAGCACTTATCCGACACATTTGAAACATAAAATCAAAGGAATAATTGTAACGTCATCTATATCCAAAATTTATGTCAAATATCTATCACAATATATCACTCTCCTTAGAAATTTTGGACTCCAAAATTAAATAAATATAAAAAAAATATTTTAAAGAAATCGCATACAATTTTATGTTTACTATATTAATCTGAAAATGGATTTATAACTTTTAATTATTAACGTAAATAAATAATTAATATCCATATTAAACCTCAAAACAATATAGAAGACAAGCAATTGAGAAGATTGCGATGCAAAAAAAAAATAAAGTATAGTATTTTGTTTTTGATTTTAAGCGATAAAAAAAAACTTGAATCCTCTTTTTTAAATATTTTTCTCTTTTTTTTTCTTTTTTTTTTTCCATTTTCGAGACTGCATGTTAATCGTCCTGTTTAATTGGTGTTTTTTTTGTTTGTAATTCTTTATAAATCAATCGATGTCTATGATGTTACAATATTTTGGTATTAATTTTAAATCGTTGTTCTTAAAAGTTTGTTACCCGCATGCTTACAATTGAACGTTTATTTTTACAGTTAATGAAATTTAATTAAAAATATATGCAAAGTGTTTTAAACAAAATGTTGCAAAAATATATGAAATATGAAAATACTAGAATAAAACTTTAACAGAATTTGAATTGCTTACTTCAGTCTCTAAGTTACTGTTTAATCGATTTTATGGCGTTCCTGCTTCTGAGGTTACCCATTATATTAAATATTTGTGGCGTCCCTGCTCCTGAGGTAGCCCTTTATGTTAAGCATTTGTGGCGTCCCTGCTCCTGAGGTAGCCCTTTATTTAGTATTTGTGTGGCGTCCCTGCTATTCAGGTAGCCTATGCAATATGCTTGCCTATATATATATATATTAAATTATTATTACTTTGTACCGGTATTAGATTATCCAACAGTAGACGGCAACAAGAATTTATCTAACTTGTTCCTAATAGGTAACTTACAAACAAGGAGATTTACTTTATGTAACCCTTAATGAAGTTGAACCTAATCTTAAAGACGACTGATTGCAAATATTAATATTGACATGCGTTTGAAATACAAACATTCAGTTCTAATTAACATCATTCTGAAAAGTTATTCAATGGATGATTTAAATGAATAAAATTTTACAACATTTTATCAAAAAATAATTTTATAACTTATTCAAACAGTATTTAAGTAAAGATTTTCTTAAAATTTTAAGACATGAAACGCAATACGATTTGTGAAATGAGAATGAACATTTTGTTTCATAGCTGAAAATTTTAAATTTTAAATTTAGATTGTAAAATAGATTTTAAATAAGCATTTGATATACTCACAGTTTCATGAAATATGTTTACAATAAAAATACACAACAATATAACTTTAAAGTTATTAATGTCACTGATGTTGATAAAAGTTCTTCTTTGAAAATAATGCATTATATATATATATGTTCTTTGATATTCAGCTGGTGTCGTTGTTCAATGGTGTATTCTGATTAATTCACAAATAAATCATTTACTGGAAAAACATATAAAATTAAATAGTCCGAACGGTACAAAAATAATGTTCAAATGTAAATATTCCTGTTCGAATTGTCGAAACGCTAGCATGCTGTAAGGTCTGGATGTCGATGTTTGGTGTCAGCTTTTAAAAGTCGTCCAACATTTATTAACGGGCCTCCACCAATTAATGTATCTAAATAATTAGATGTTACTATCCATTTAGTTGTAATTTGAGATATATATGGTTCCAGTTGTTTCTCTGCAGACTCTCAACAGAAGAACTACTTCTGTGAGAGCTGATTCTGATTTTTACATGTTCGGGGGAAACTAACTGTGACTGACAATGCCTTTGATGATGTATGGCATTGCTGCCGATGTAAAGGCAGGCCGGGCGTTGTTGCCGATGTAGAGGCAGGCCGGGAACAACAACAGGAAAGTAAACCAAACTAGAACATCAAGAAACTCGCTA